CATGTGGTAAGACTGACTGCGACGGCTTTTCTGTATTTGGTGACTAAATGTTTGTGCTTTATTTATTGCAAATATTATGGCTAAAAGTTAGCTGACAGCTAAAAGTTCTCGTGAGTTCTTTTTGTCCCCTGCTCCATCTTTTCTGTAATTATTAATGTTTTTTTTTATTTCTTCTCTCTTTCCAATGTTATTCACAATCTTTAACGTGAAACAGCCCACCTTTAAATGTTAAAGTTGCTTTACGTTTAAGCAAATCACCCGGGTCTTGAAGACCTTACGTAACACAACAACTGTGATTCTCTCAGCGACTACGAGGGATGACCTTTTAGAGTTTGACCCCACCGTTGTCAGTCCAATACGTCTTCATTCATTTCCCACAGAAGCCAAAGTTTACAAGGGGGGTCAAAGTTTGAATAATTCATGCGAGGACATGATAACAATACTGTAGTATTTCCTAAACAGGTTTTTTTTTAGTGATTAGTGGAGTTGGTATTGTTGAAGAATTTTGTGATTAGTGGAGTTGGTATTGTTGAAGGATTTTACACTTTTGTAAAAAAAACAAAAAACAAAAAACACTGCATGTAATGGTCCTACAAAAGTACTTTCTCTTCATGAAAATTCCTATTTTAGGATCCTCATTACCAATATCAATAATAGCAAAACTGATATATAGTAAATAGTAGAATATGAATAAAATCTCCAGGTAGTCTCAAATCTGTACATACAGCTGCTAAAGCTCAAAACTGTTTAACAATCCATTAGCCACGTTAGCTTTGCTTACTGCATTAAAAACTTGGATTCACTTTGTTGATGGTAGCTGTAATTTACTGCCCCATCAGTGCCATCAGTACATTCATGTATTCTTTTATTGGTCAATCCTCGTCAATACTAGGAGTCCAGTAGTCATTGGATGAGGGGAAACCACAGAGTACATGGAGACAAACAACATATACCCTCTTACAAAGACAATGTCTCTGTCATTGGTGTGGAACCCCAGGGTTCACCTCCTGGGTAAGATCGGATCCCGGTTAGGACGGTTGGTACCTTCCAGTGGACTGACCACCTGCAGGAAGGTTTAAGGGGGGTTGGTACGGTGCAGTGTGATAAAATCATACTTTTGTTGGAAGATAGATAGATAGATCCCCAAAACAGCATTTTCTTCATTGAAAATAGACATATATATTATCAGTAAGACAATGCAATTATATGAAAGAAAAAAAAAAGACTCAGACACTCCGCGTCTGCAGCTAGATAACAGGGGCCCATTTCTGCATGAAACACACATGAATATTATCTGATCTGCAATGACTTTTAATTGTTCTGCAGAGACCAGGCATGGCCAAACTAAGGCCCAGGGGGCAAGATATGGCCCTTTAAGCTTTTTAATTGGGCCCGCCAAACTTTTCCAAATTATATAATTCATTTATATTATTATTATACTTCTGCCTTTAAGACTAAAAGAATCTAAGTGTCCCGTAAGTAGAAACAAAGACAACGCCTTTCACACCGAGAACGTAACAGCTGCTTAGGTAAAAGTTGACCGTTTTTCAAAAGCTGCACTAAGAAGTGTTTTTGAGATTGTTTTTGTTACATACGCACATTAGAAATATCTGCTTTGCTGAGTCAGTAAAATGCTGAACTACAGCATCTGAGGTCATGGCTTTGAATATCTGTCTGTGTTCATTCTTTTATCTGAGTCATAATGATCAACTGACAGAGAAGTGTGCTAAGGGCTACCGCTGGTCAATGACCTGCCAGGAATATACAAAGTTAACAGCATGTTTTTTTTTTTTTTATTTTATTAAAAGTTTTTGAATGAATGTTTTTAGATGTAAATAATGACATAAGACGTTAGAAAGAACTTTATTTCAGAACCTTTGGAACGGTTAGCTATGACGCTAACAAACCTAGCCATGTACATTTAAAGGTAGGAGAAAACGTTTTTAATGCATTTCCTGCAAAAGATACATAGATGGATGGATGGATGGATGGATGATGGATGGATGGATAGATAGATAAATAGATAGATAGATAGATGGATGGATGGATGGATGGATGGATGGATGGATGGATGGATGGATGGATGGATGGATGGATGGATGGATGGATGGATGGATGGATGATGGATGGATGGATAGATAGATAGATAGATAGATAAATAGATAGACTAAAAACACGATGGATAGATAGATAGATAGATAGACTAAAAACATTTTTATATCCTTATTTCCACAGTTTACGGTTTATAAAATGTCCAGAATAAAGCTCGAGTCAAACTATTAAACAACTGCTAAACCTAGCGGTGCGAGCACCTCAACGGTTAACTTTGCTCATACCTGTTGACAGCAAAGAATGAAAAGGAAAAAAAAATGTTATTTGTCACCAGATAAGTCTGCGTGGGACGGATGAAAAAACATATTGAAAACAAAGTGGTAGCATGGTGTGTTCAGGAACGTCTGACTTGCACAGACAGACCAGGACTTGCCTCGTTGAACACCCACATCTGAAACCTAACATGGGGTGATGTTGTAACACGACACCAAACACACAAAAGGGGAATTTAGTCCTTGTTGTTTACTTTCGTTGTTTCTGGATGTATTATTCAATGTGTTATGTTTTAAATGATCATAAATACAAAATAAAATACGTATAGTTTCATCCATAATGTCCTATAAAATGAAATAAAATACGTATAGTTTCATCCATATTGTCCTATAAAATGTATATATATAAATATATATTTATATATACACTAGTACAAGGTCTGGTAAAAATTGTTTTAAATCCCTCTGTTTTGTGCATTAAAACAAATTGACTGTAAATTCTGTTGATGCCACTCAGTGGTGGCAGACATTGAATGTGCCGAATTAACCTTTGAAAATTAGGTTTATTCTTGTACATTTTATTTAAATTATTTCGCCCAGCATTCCACATCCAATCAATACCGAGGTGGCCCACCAGTCAAATATTGAACCTCAATTTGGCCCGTGAGCCAGAAAGTTTGCCCACCAGTGCAAGAGTCCTGTCACCCATTCAGCATGGACCACCACGCCACCATGTGGCCCCTCCTTAAAATTACCCCCAGATAACTTCTAGTAGTGTAGTACCTGCCCCAAATATGTTATTAAAACTGATTGTTTATTGATGACCATGTAAATAAAAAAAATAAAACTTTACATTGTTTATGTTTGTTTTTTTTGTTGTTTTATAAATTTAACTCAACAATTATATTTCTCTTTTTTTCATATTACATTTTGTAATATGCCTAATATAATTACTTAAATGTACTTAATTTTGTTCGTTTTTTTAAAGAATTTTTCTAAAGGCATTTTTGAAATGTAAAAAAAAAATGTTTTATTTTACTTAATTTTTTTTTTTGTTTTGGTTTTCGTAATATGCCTAATATAATTACTTAAATATACTTAATTTTGTTCATTTTTTAAAGATTTTTTCTAAAGGCATTTTTGAAATGAAACTTGTATAAAATGTTTTATTGTACTTTAATTTTTTTTTTGTTTTGGTTTTGGTTTGTTCTTTGTTTTTTTTAATTGAAAATAATATAAATATATATTTGTAACTTTTTTTTCCAAAGGCACTTTAAGGACAACAACAACAACGTTCATTCTCATGTTTCAACTTTATTTCTGGTATGTTGGAAAGAACACAGTGTGGTCTTAGACCACGATGGATTTGAACAGCTGTGGACCTCGTTGGTGAATTTGATTCTTGACAGCGTGGATGTTTGCTTCTTGTGTTAAGTTCATTTCAACGAAACATGACTGGGACAAGACTTAGTTGGATTTGACAAAGGACTCGTACAGGGAGATGAGGCGAGCCTGGAGGTCCTCAGTGTAGGGGTTCAGATTGTCCCTCAGACCTTCGACGTAGGGGGCGGCCATTTCCTTCACCTGCTGGGCTCTCTGGGCCATCTCACTCTGGACTTTATCGGTCAGAGGAATCACGTGATCCTTGAATTCCTGCAGACGCTGGTCAACCTTGGCCTTCAGGTCATCGGTGTATGGGCCCAGCTGTGTCTGCATATCCTTCATGCTCTGCTCCAGGGTGGTCCTCAGCTCGTCGCTCCTCTGAACCAGGGTGTTCTTCAGGCTCTCGGTGTCCAGGGAATCGGCATAGGGGGCCAGCTCCTGTTTCAGCAACTCAACTCTCTCGGCGATCTTGGCCTTCATGTCCTCAGCCATAGGTCCCAGCCTTTCCCTGACTGCGCTCAGGTCTTGGGTCATACGCTGTTTCAGCAGGTCGGCTTCAGTGGTGACTTTGGCGATCAGGTCCTGGGCGACAGGAGGAAGCTGATCCTTGACGCTGGATGCGTACGTGGTTGCCATGTCAGCACTTTCCGTCAGACGGGCACTAGACGTAAAAAAAAAAGCAGAAGGGTTCAGGTTTTTATTTCTGTCTTTGTTTTTTAGTTGGTAAAACAAAACTGTATGTGCTCGGTACGTTTCCAATCACTTCGACTGCGTCATCTCTGAACTCAAACCAATGGAAGCTTTGGAGATAATGACGAATTTGAAGGTTTGAAGTCCTGTAATTTAATACCTTTGAAGTACAAATGTCGCTTCTGTGTAACATACCTGACATCCTGTCCAAGCTGAGACTTCCTGATCATCTGCAGGGTGTCATCAGCTGTCTGGGTGGCTTTGGCAACGTAGTCCCAGAAGGCATCAGTCAATACTTCAATCTGAGGCTTGGGTGCATCAGCATAGAAGGGATTGGCGTGACAGCCTAAAGAAAAGCGCAGATTTTTTTTAGTTATCTCGTAAAAGGACAGTACAAACAAAATCAGCAATCAACTCTTTACATCAAGAAACCCAAGGCAAAAAAAAACGAGACATTTTGATCTGTCCATCGTACTCACCGCTGAAGGCAGCAAGGACGAGCACAACGAGGAACTTCATGGCTTGAGAGTGTCCTGAGAGTCCACTTGTCAATACTTGTGGTGAGCTTGAGAGGTAGCAAGGCTTATATAGTGAGGAACCATGACAAAGTCCAGGTGTTAGTGTCTTGCTGTCACACTGCCTCACCCTGTCGTGTCCCCTGGTGCCAGTGAATGCATGTATGCAAATCACCTGCTGTTGCCAATACAGTCTAGACTCTAGCCCTTCACCCGCATCATAAACCTACTTTACTTTAAACGTGAGGCTCCGAGAGACACGAGTCTCTCTGAAGGCCTTGCAGGTTTTCAGTGACAGATATCGTTCAACAGTTTGTGGCTTTAGTAAATAAAGCCGCAAACTGTTGAACTATATCTGTCATTTTTTCCAAAACTGAATCCTTTTTTTTTTCTTAATTTCCCGTTACAGCGAGTTGCGATTAATGGTGTGTCATTTCTTTCCATTGCACGCTGCTGTAGCATGCCACGTGATGTGATTGCAGCATATTAGTTTGACCAAAGGTTAGCAGACTGATACCGTCAGCTATTGAAGGACAATCAGGAACCACATGTATTAACATGTTTTAAATGAGTAAAATGTCTTATTTAACGGTTGTTTTATTTTATTTTTTTAAGGCTTATTTTGCATTTGTACACTCAATAAAAAACAAAAAAAAAAACACGAATATATATATATTATCAAATATATTGTGTTCTTCTTGATTAACAACCAGGGGAGTTCCATTTATTTTCCCTGCTGTTGGATTAATAAAGTCTTTCTTAGCAGATTAAACCCTTTAGGGTTGCCGAGTGTTTAAAGTATGTGAGACTACGCTGTGCTTTCGGATATCTAGCCGACGTCTGTGTGAAGATGGGGGTGGGGCGGTCAGTGGAGACAAAAGTTTGGTCTACCGTCTGGGCCTTGATCTTTTCTTTTGTTCGTAAAGAGCAGACACATCCACGCTGACGACCCCCTGAGGTGTAGGTCAGGGGGGGGGTGGATGGGGAGATAAGAAGGTGAGGATGGGCTGTTGGTCGTTTACTGACGTCTCTCAGGGTCATTAGGGTGAGAGTCATTCCTGCAGCCTGGTGTTGTAGCAACTCTACTATTAGCTACTTTGATTGCGCTGTGCGTCAGTGAGATACTACCGTCATTGTATGTATTAAGTCAGCGCTCCCCAACCTTTCTTGTACCAAGGACCGGTAATGCCACACTATCATTGATGGATCGTTACATTTTCAAAATAAAACGTCTTTTAGACTTTATTCTTAATACCAGATTCTGAATGATCCATGATCCGCCAGATTATCTTTGAATACAAAAAGTAAAGGGATATGGCTGGATTCTTTTGGAATGAAGTAAATTCGTAAGTAAATTATGTCATTGTGTCTCACTGTACCAAATGACCTACTGACCAGAACCGGACCCTGGACCAGGGGTTATACCAAATGACCTACTGACCAGAACCGGTCCATGGACCAGGGGTTGGAGACCCCTGTATTACGTATCATGTTTAATGTTGCTTTATGTGCAAAACAGTTTTTGTCACTTCGTACAAGTCATTAGTCAATGTCATGGTGTGAATGAGTCATTCATGTACTGTACTCTGCACTCTGTACTCTGTATGTGGGAAAAAGATGGACTTGGTACAGTCAGAGAGCATCATGGTCACACATGGAGTGATAGGCAATTCGGCAGTCACGTACAGTTCAGGTCCATAGTATTGTGGTCCCTGCTGGTACAGGTTTTTAAGCCCTAGACTGAAAACTACTTTGTAAAAATCTCTCCCATAATAAGCAGAGAGTCTTTTGAGCTGAGTTTTTGAGCTGATTGAACTACTAAAAAACAAAGTTGACCCCTGAAGTGTTGACTGAGATATCTGTGCTACCATTTATTTATGATTTTAGTCTGTTCCTCAGCGCCCGGCTTATAGTGGAGCAGCTCGCACAAAATATCTGTGAAAATATCGAGTTTCTTCTTCTTTAAATAAAATGCATACTGATTTCTCTCTTCAAATCAAAACCACAAACAGATCGACAAAGTCTTGGTTCTGAACTTGATTGAGAATCAGGAGAGCGACCGATTGCGACATTTCTCGCGACGTGTCTGAAATCGATGTATCGTGTGCAAGGCTGAAAGTTTATGTCGGCGTGTCTTCATGAGAGTGCTGGCAGTCATGTGATAACAGCCAGGAGACGCAGCAGAGGAAGGAGGAGGGCCGTACTAACAACACGGCAGGGACTCCTGGACTTCGGACTCTCGAGCACAACAGTCGTGCAGCTTCCGTATATATATACATACAGAAGCACTGCATCTGCAAACACTTATAAAACACTCAAATCCTTGAGATCATCAGCATATCGCAGGTGAGAACTGCATGACAAAATAACTGAACAATAACTGATTTGTGTTGACGCTGAGGCTTTAAAATATCCTGAGCCTTTTTTTTATGTTTTTTTTTTTTTTTACACAGCTATGAAGGTGCTCGTGATATTGGCCATTGCAGTTCTGTCTGGTAAGTTGAAAATCTCTGGATTTTTAAAACAAAAAACAAAAACATTCATAGCTAACCTTGTATTATGCGAAATTGACCAAAGATTATATTTCATTTTTATTCATTTCATCCTAGACTGCCAGGCCCACCAGCTCTATGGGGATGAATCAAAGGCACAGGTGGAAGTGTTGATTGACTCTTTCTGGAACTACATTGCCAAAGCCACTCAGACGGCAGATGACAGTCTGCAGATGATCAGGGAGTCTCAGTTCGGACAGGAAGTCAAGTGGGTATTATGACACCCGAGCCTATTCGGAAATGTTTGTGTTGCAGTCCCGGTCTTGACCACTGACCCTCCCTTCGTCCATTTTCCAGTGCTCGTCTGGAGGAGAGTGCTTACATAGCCAGCACGTATGCGGTTGCCCTCAAGGAGCAGCTCCCCCCCGCAGCTCAGGACCTGGTGGTCAAGATCAGCACGGACGCCGACGTGCTGAGGAAGGTGCTGACCGACGAGCTGGCCTCTGTCAAGAACAGCCTGGAGCCCTACGCTGAGGACATGAAGGCTCAGATCCAGCAGAGGGTGGAGCAGTTCAAGCAAGAGCTCATCCCTTATGCTGACTCCCTGGACTCCGAGGCACTGAGGAGCACTCTGATGCAGAGGAGCCAGGAGCTGAAGACCAGCCTGGAAGAGAGTATGAACAGGACAGCGTAGCCCCCATGACCAAGAAGGTCCAGGTTGAGCTAAAACATAGAGCCAACTTGGTGAAACAAATGGTGGCCCCCTATGCCGAGGACCTGAGAGAGAAGCTTGACCCTTACACGCAGGACATCCAGGCCCAGCTCATGTCCCTGTACCAGTCGTTTGTGAACACTGACTAAGTCTCCGTTGTGTTTCGACTTCTGTTGCTCCTGAATAACATTGTTTACCTTTGTTTGAAGCACGTGATGATTTCAATGCACGGATTGTAAACAGTTGCAGATACCAGTAATGTAATATTTATTAATATGCGCAATATTTGTGAAGCAAATGTTTGCATGGTTCAAACGTGTATATACTTTTTATAATAATATATTGTAATGCCTGTAACTGTGCGTCTTTTGTATAATTTCGTCAAATAAAAAAGTTTCTGGGATTTTCCTTTTTATTTTGCCTTTATTACATTTTTTTTTCTTCAGAGACATTTCTTGTAGCTTATCTACAAAATGGATACAATTATAACACTGAGTATTAAAAGCTAAGTTAAATGCGTTCTTTAAAACACTCCCCTGTGTGCATCACCTTTCCCGCAACAAAACAAATGGTGTTCTGATATAACATGTCATGTCAGAACCCGCCTTGGCTTACAGTGTTGTTTACTTCATTTGCAGAGGTATAGACCATTGGTCTCCGTCATGGGCATGTCTCTGCTTGTCATGAAATTGCACGAGCACTAAAGTCACTTCGATAAACACTGTGTCCAAAACATAACGAAAGTATTTCTGATACATTCAAATGAACTGACGAACCTTCGTTGGCGATCGCGATAAGCCCTCTCCCTTTTCCCTTGCCCCCGTATTGACGTGGCACGTCCAGCGTGGAGGGTCAGAGTCTAATGACAACAACGCATAAACTCACACTCACTCACATGCAGATACTCACACACACACGTTCATGTGCAAAGGTCATTCTTGAAAAAAAAAAAAACTCTTTTCATGATTGTTTGATTAGGAGTCCTTTAACATTTGCCCCGTTGGTCAAAGTATTCATTTCGATTTAATTTAAACTTAGGGGAATATTACTTTAACACAGGGGTGTCAAACTCATTTTGGTTCACATACTGCATACAATCTATTTAGATGTCAAGTAGGCCGGGCCAGTACAATTATAACATAATTAACTATAAATAACAATAAGTCCATGTTTTTCTACATCGTTTTGCATCATTTTATGCAAAGAATTTAGGTATATTGGATATTTGCTATTATTTATTGTTATTTAATTAAGTGTTTGTGTATTGTTTTTTATTTTTAAAATTCATCAAGCGGGCCGAATTGAACACCCCACCGGCCCGGTTTTGGTCCCCGGGCTGTATGTTTGACATACCATACAACCACAAACCAAAATTTTGGTCCCCGGGCTGTATGTTTGACAATCTGTTAAATAGGAATAAAAATGCAAAGTCTAGATGCAGCTTTTTTTTTTTTTGATTTTCAAGAAATATTGTACAATGCAATCATTTTTATAAATGAAATGACAATATTTTTATTAAAAAATGAACTGAACTAAAATAACCCTGTGCCAGGTCAAAACAAACTGAGCAAGATGACAATCAGTGTTATTCTCTGCTTGTAGAAAAAAACAACAACCACAAACCAAACATGTAAAAGTGCCTTCGAAGCCTTTCGATTTGTCATGGTACTGTTAAAAAAAAAGAATAAGTTAATATAGAAAAGTGATTAGCACTTAAATTGGCACGGAGAAACCCTCATCTAGATTCATTATCAGTCAGAGCCTGAAGGCAACGCTAAGATCTTAATTTAAATGGCTGCATAATTAACTGGAGACCAGACCCAAGTCTGCTCTAAACTGTACCACAAAGACGATTTAGATAGAGGAGAAAGAGGACGGGGAGGAGGAGGAGGAGGAGGAAGAGGAGGAGGAATTGCTGTTGTTTGTTGAATACTTTGAACAAGAATGGTCTTGCCACTATCCCCACCGTGACAAAACACTTTGTTGTTGTTGTGACGTAAATGAGTAGCTTTTGCCACCACTCTGATAACCAGATAAGTACACCTTGGTATGAGGAGATGCTTGTTAATGGCTTATTGTGTTGCTCTCTGCTTTGACAACAGTTCCAATTCTCTGAATAAGTGAATCAAAGTCATTGCTACCCTTTTCTATAATAATAATAATAATAATAATAATAATAATAATAATAATAATAATAATAATAATAATAATAATAATAATAATAATAATAATAATAATAATAATAATAATAATAATAATAATATTTAAAAAATGATAATTTGCTATTTTATTCCCTTTAACCTGTCGCTGGACGCCACAACCGAAACGTAATTCAACAGGAAGCACTTACACTGCCATCACGTGTAAAGCTAGTGTAAGTGCTTAAATGTGTGTAATTGAATAAAACAATATTGAAGGTCGCTTGTTTTGGCAAATGTTAACCAAATAAGAATAAGAAACATTCATATATTATACATTTATAATATCATTGGCTGAAAGGATAAAAACCTCTTAATGACGCAGTCGGTTGCTGGCGTTTAGTGATGTTGTTGAACCAATATCCTTTGGTTAACAACACTGGTAGCTTCGTTAATTCCAGAGTGTTATTTATTTTGAAGATTTAAAGGGGAACAGAAGAAGAAAGAGGTTTTCTATATAACTCAGTTAAACACTAACTTAAGAGCAAAGGGACTAGATGACAGGCAGAGAGCAGATATTTTAGGGATAATGTATAAAAAATAATAATTTCATCATAAAATAAGGTGCATTTTGATCATCCCGCATTTATTTGTTACTTAAAATTGACTTTTGGAGAAAAAAAAGTATATTTACACGTCTTTATTGTGTGGACCCACTTAATTCTTTTCATTGCGCACCCCCTAGTGGCAGCTCGCGTACCTACAAACAGGAAAGAAAGCAGCAGCAAGACTGTGGAAGGACAACACATCAGAAAGAAAAACAACGTACGTAGTGTACATTAGTTAACACCTAATTGTATATAGTCGCAAAGTAATACATTTTCTGAGGTAATTATTCTATTTTTAAATCAAAATATACATTGCCACAACTTAGTATGTCAATAAATCAGTCCCTGCCTAGTGACAGCACTGCTAATAGAATTCATCAGGGAAAAAACGGGATTATGATTAACAGAGTAGTAGTAGTAGTAGTGCGTCATAGCCGTGGGAAACCACAACATTACTGATATATGAGGGTTAGGTAACGTCTTGTCAAGCTTCATTTGGGGTTTTATCGTATGTTTTGGTGTTGGTGGTGCATTTCTGTGCTCTTCTGTCACAGCTATGCTATGATTCCTGAGGTGATAAGCTGCGCACCTGAAGGCAGTTCTTCTGTTCACCAGAGGAGGGTGATAAGCTGCGCACCTGAAGGCAGTACTTCTGTTCACCAGATATTAGCTCCAGCTCCTCAGGGAGTCCCCGGAGTATCTTGTCATGTGTTACAGGGTGAGTCATATATATTTGTATATACCGTGGTACCTCGAGATACGAGCTACCCGGAGTACGAGTATTCAATGTTACGAGTCCGCGACTGTTGCAGTACGAGTATTCAATGTTACGAGTCCGTAACGCAAACATTGAGTTACGAGTACTCAACCGACCTCCATTTTTCCACTTGACACTTTCGCGCCGTCTCGCTCACTGTCCGTCGCTGGGTAATTTAACCCGTCGCTTTATTTCTCATTTCCCTTACGAATTATTTGGTTTTTAGTTATTTTTATTTGGGAAAATACGAGTGGAAAGACATACGACTGCCGTCTTGGAACGGAGAGAGAGAGAGATAGCACTGACAGAGATCACGTTGGTGGTGGCCTTGAGGTGGGAAAAGTACTAATTAAAAAGTAAATTTAGTAAAAGTTAGTTTAAAGATTAATTTACGTTACTTGATGCAAAACAAGTGAACATTGTACATTGTGACTGTATCCATACATATCCAACTAAAAGTTGGAGGTTCTGTAACACAGAGAACGGAAGGTTCCGGCAACATTTTTTTTTTTTGTCATTGAGACACATAGGTCCTCATCTTTGAGTTGGATCCTGCAGGTTCCAGCTGACTTTAAACAGTTTATAACATTACAAAATATCATAATACAGTTATTAAACCTCACGGATACAAAGTCCTTATTTGTCAATGAAAGGGAATAAAAAAATTTAATTGTCCGTCCTAAAGTAAATTGTCATTTTGGTTGAAAAATAAAATAACATCAAAGTGTTTATGATAGTTCCAATAATTTATGTTTGGATCATCAAGTAATTTTTTAAGCTTTACTATAACAGTAAACAAGGAAATCTTTCCATTAATCTTTTTTAAAAACTGTTTAGCCTTTGAATTAACAGTTCACCAGGGAGGAATGTTCTCATTGTCTTTTTGACAGCTTGGCTTCTATGGACACAGTTGATGGCTAGGAGGCTTGTCTGGAATGTGTTTCTGTCCTAATGTTGCAATACTAATATAATGCTGCACAAAAATAATAATTGAAGTCATTCATTGCTTGATTAAAAACAGTTTTCATTTCCTTATATATATATTCCCACAAAGGGAAATGACTCTCAATAAATAGTTTGAAATATATCACAGAATGAAAAGAAAATAGATGAATAAAATGACTTAGAAATAAATTAACAATGCCTTAAAAGTCATCAGAAACAACAGAAGCAACAAAAGTTGTGTTTACCGAAATACATTTCTTTAGCTTCAATAACAATGTACAGTAAAATAGGAATCTGGACTGTATTTTCTGGATGCAACTTTGCTGAGGAGACACATTAGCATATTTAGAGCTTATTTCTTCTTTTCCTTTGGGCTTTGTCCCTTTTTTCAGGGGTTGCCACAGCGAATCATTGATTTCCATCTCTCCATCTTCTACTCTGACTCCAACTATCTGCATGTCCTCCCTCACTGCATCCATATATCTCCTCTCTTTCTCCTACCTGGTCAGCTCCATCTCTAACATTCTTCTACCAATGTATCCACTGTCCCTCCTACGCACATGCCCAAACCAACTAATTAAAATTTAAAATTTAAAAATTAAATAATTATAATTTTCCCAGTGTAGGATCAATAGCTTAAATCATACAGTAAGCCTTGCTCCTGTCTCAGAATCAGATTTATATCAGAATTACAAAATATCAAGTTGCTGGAACAGCACATGTTCTCAAGTACTTGTACGAGTACAGTTGTCCTGCGTTTTTTTTTCCGCAAAAAAAAAAAAAAACAAAAAACTTTACGAAACTTTCACAAATGTGTAGGTTATTTCTTGCAATACCATGTATGTATGTGTTATAAAATGCCTTTTAATTGATTTTTTAAATTATTTTTTGCTGTTTTTTTCTTTTGCTGAAATTTAAAAATGTTTATATACAGCAAAAACCCACGATAGAGCGAAAAATCCGTTATACAACAATACATCTAAAATAAAAATACATAACACATATGGGTCATTTGGTATTGGTCTAGCTAAATGAAAGTGCTTGTATGATCATGCTGAATGATATTTTATTATATTTGATATAAAGACATCCTGATATATCCTGATATATATTTTCTGTAACACTACCCCCTCCATAAAAATGACTTATATTCTTTTTACGTCGGTCGTGCCAGCTCTCCTCACTGTGTTCACTTGTCTGTGAAAATATGGGCTCACATGGGCAACAGATTCATCGATCAAAACTGACTGGGAATTCAACTCAAGATTATTGCTTGTAAAAACAGATCTATTAGATTCGTGAGAAACTCAGTCTATGTCTCAGTCATGTTCAGGGTAGGACAGAGTGAGTTAACAGACACATGACATGAATGTTTGGCTAAACAAACAACACGAGAAAAGATTCATACAAAGATTGAGAAAACAAAGATGACATGACACGAATGTTTTTTTTTGTCTGACACGGATATGTCGCTGTCACAGGAACTACATGTATGACACTGCCTCCATTTTTAGACAGGTGCTGATGGAAATCTTTTTTTCTGCCAGTTTCAGTAACACTGTTTCGCAATGTTTAGTTATGTCGTTTTTGTCTTAGGTATTGGATCGGACAGGTTATAGTTGTTTTTTTTTGTTTGTTTGTTTTTCAAAGTAATCTAACAGTCAATGGAATGAAATTGCTGGTATGGCAGGTTTGCATGACAGTTTTTGCTTTGTTGCAGAAACATGGGTTTGTGTGTACTGTCACTGACAGGGGTGGTGGCACAGCTTAAAAACCAGTCTGCATCTTGGACTCACCATGACTCAACAACCAGACCAGCAGGAGGTAAGCACTGGTGGGTCCCTTATTAAATCCATATTTATTTTCATGTTTACCTATCTATCTATCCATTCATTCATTCATTTATTCAATTAACAGAAAAAAAGAGCAAATATGAAGGGCTACATTTTTCTTCTAGTCAACCTGGCCATTTCATCTCCCTTTCCGCAACGAGTGAGTTATTATTATTATTATTATTATTATTATTATTATTATTACTGCCTTTACTGTAATGGATTACCAGTATTTAACACTTAACTATACACATTGTAGACATGCTACTTTAGTTATGGAACTTTTGTACACAAAACTGATGCAATACAAACTATACTGTTTGTGTTCTACAGCAACGTATGAACAATTGAATACAGAACAACTCATAACTGCGTACAAATCAATATTTTAAAGACAACACAGTACACTGTGTCATATCTCTCTTTGCATTACTCTGGCTCTTTTCCGTTGTGGAAGACATAAGTAATTCATCGTCAGCACAATGGACAGCGTTTTCAATTAATAACATGTTAAAATAACATCATGTATTTTCAAACAATTATTGACAACAAATTATTTTTATCACCCTTATATTACCATTAGGTTACTCTGAATCCCTCACAACAATTAGCTTGGATTTTGAACCATTTTAGGACTGTTATCCGTTCTGATTCTCTTAAACATATTTTGTAAACGCGAGGCTATAAACATAGTTAACATGCGTCTCTTGTTATGACAACATTCACTCTCCCACAAACTATGTTTGTATTGTATTGTATTGTACAAAACAAAACCAAAAAATGCTGATGCTTTGTTAACATCTTTCCAGAGCGAGAAGAGGCTTGATAGTAAGTCCATTTACTTTACATTGGTGCTTTTCATTTATGCAGTGTTGTGAATCTGTATCAAATATCTGAAATCGATTTGCTCTGCTTTGTCGAGCAGAATCTAATTTCACCTTTGAAGACATGGAGGAAGGGAAGGACATTTCAGAAATAAACAATGGTGAGGTCACAATAACGAAAGTCACCTCTACTCCTGTCCATCCCGGTCACTGCCAGCATCTTCGTCTCTTCCACCTCCAACTCAGCCTTTTGTCTGTCAGACAGAGACACTGTCTCTGAACCATACATCAAAGCAGGTCTCACCACTGTCTTTTAAACCTTCCCCAACAACTTTGCGTCACCAGTACATCTGAGCTCAGGAGGCTGTAGCAGAATAGCTACATGCTCAATGTTGGGAAATACAAGAAAACACAAGCCAGATTTTCCTATCGTTGTCTGACTGTAATGCCATATTTGTTGTTTCCTTGTTTTATTTGATCTCCAGGACACAGCGATATTCTGGTGAGTTAAGATTTTTGAAACAAATTGCAGAAAAATATAATGGTCTATAACTGTGTTTGACTAAAAACCTTCTTATAAATTTTAGCCTTCCATAAAATCCAGGTCTTCCTTAAGTTCTGATGACATCTTGTGGACAATGCCCATTCCAGTTGTTTTGGATGAAAGTCTGGGTAAATATACTTTTGTACATAAGAATAATTTTGTCTATGGAAATGTGAAGTAGTATTTTAATATAAGTATAATATAGTATAAGTATTTTAATGGAGGGATTTGAAATGATTAACATCTTTAATTTGATGCAAAAATCACCATTATAGAATGATCAAATGTTTATTTTCAGTTTAATGCTGGAACAGAAAGAAAAATAACCATAAATATATACATCTATAAATAATGAAATAGATAGATGGAGTTATTAATATAAAAAATATACAAAAATAAAACTCAAAAATTAGTTGAATATTGTTTGTGTACATTAGTCCCTCAACAGACCACAATTTAACTAGGAACAAATTTAAGTGATCAAGGCTGGTTAACTAACTTAACTTTTAAAATATTTTTGGTCAAAAAAAACAAATTCTTGGCTGCTCTCACATTCTAATTTTTTTTTCTGGTTGTGAAACAGGGCTAAATGCTGTAGGTGTCATCCTGCAAGCCTTTGAGCAGTTCAGGTTGAAATCGTGCATTGACTTCAAACCAAGAGACCAGGAAAGGGATTATGTCATTGTCCAAAAGTTGGATGGGTATGTAGACATTACTTTTATCATAACAAATTAGCATTATGTGATGGTTTTTAAATGTGTTTACAGTTAGCTACTCTCTTTGCTGGTTTCAGTTATTCTCCATCAGAGCACCCAAATTAAATATTATTGTGGCTGAAGCTTTGAAGCCGACTGGATTCAAACTAATGTTCGATTCCAGAAAAGAGTGTTACGATTGTAAATTTTGGATGGACAAATGGTTTGATAGATGACTGAAATTTTTTGTTATATTTCTTTTTCCCAGTGTCCAAAAACAATGTCATAAACACAAGTGGAGAACTTTGGTATTCTCCCATACTTTCACCATGCAACCATAGTCCTTATTGTCACAAGCAGCATCTAAGTTGGACAATTACTTTGACATACTCTAAAAAGATAACGTTGTGCTATTTATTTATTTTTTATTTTTTAGATGTTATTCATACGTTGGATTGGTTGGTGGTCCACAAGAACTCTCCATCGGCACAAACTGTGACGAAATTTCTCTTGTGGAGCATGAGTTTCTCCACGCGCTCGGCTTCTTTCATGAACACACCAGATTTGACAGAGATGACTATGTGACCATTCACTTAGAGAACATTTTAGCAGGTTATTTTAATTAGTAATTTGTTTATTTATATAAACTCACATTTCATAACATCTTCTATCTATCTATCTATCCATCTATCCATCTATCTGTCTATCTATCTATCTATCTATCTATCTATCTATCTATCTATCTATCTATCTATCTATCTGTCTATCTATCCATCTATCTATCTATCTATCTATCTATCTATCTATCTATCTATCTATCTATCTATCTATCTATCTATCCATCTATCCATCTATCCATCCATCCATCTATCTGTCCATCCATCCACTCATGCCCATAGAAACAAAAAAAAACGCACATTTATTTTCCCAATCTATAACTGTATAATGTCTTCATTTTCCATTTTTGTGTAGATAACAAAAACAATTTTGAGAAAATCCCCCTAAGTGTGTCCACTGATATGGGGGTTCCGTACGACTACTGGTCAGTAATGCATTACGGCAAAAAGGCATTCAGCAATGGTGATGGGAATACAATTACAACAAAGGACGCAAAGTTCATCGACATAATTGGCCAAACACAGGACATGAGTCCCAGTGATACTCTGGAGCTGAACCGGCGCTACAATTGCAGTAAGTCCTCCGAGTCGTTTTGGTGTTTTTTTTCTATTGTTATTATTGGCTAACTCAACAACAACTTCTAGCTCAATCCAAACTTAAAATAAAAAACAATAATTCAGTTGAAGAAAGCTCATATTAGAATTACGATGATGATGTTTCTTTGCCTTTCAGTTGCGTAAATATTAGAGATTAAAGTCCTGTGCTGTAATTGTCTCTACAGCATCAACTGCTACATTCTCTATGCACTGCACCTTCTCCCAAGGGGAAATGTGTAAAATGAAGAAATGTTCGCTGGGTAATATTGAATGGAAAATGGTTACACATGCCAACAATGGTCCCAGCTCTGACCACACAAGTCTACCCACTGGCAGCTATAATCATAGTAAGGAAATAACAAAAACTTTTTTTTTTTTAATTTTTAAAAAAAAAAGTCTTGACTCTTGATTCTACAGCTTTGTCTTTATTATTACTTTCTAGGTAGCGATGACAGTCACTTTATGTACGCTAACACAGCATATGGGATGGAGGGAGACTCCGCCACCCTGGAGACTGACAGAATGTATAGCAAAGGCAAGTGTAACGTCCAATGCCTCCAGTTTTACTACTATCACCGTGGGAGCCAGAACGACACACTTAACATCTGGATCAGGGAGTTTCACGATGAACGGGACCACAGAGGATCCCGCCGACTCATGGGACAGATCAGTGGTAATGTTAGAATCTGTGAATGTCAAATGATATTTGTTAAATGTAGAGGAAATGATTATTGTGTGGAAAAAAAACAGTGAGAACATACAGTAACTATGATTACCTGGAACGGTATCGAGTTTAAGGCTATGTAGGAAAAAACAGAAAATGGTTCCTAAAGTGTTTAAAAAAATAAAAAAACAAACCAAAACATAACATTTTCACAGCTAGTGGGGGTGTAGCTCAGTGGTAGAGCATTTGACTGCAGATCAAGAGGTCCCTGGTTCAACTCCAGGTGCCCCCTCATCATTATACTAGAACTGTTTGTGGAGTTTGTGAACTCCCATATTTAGCAATTATCACACATCATATATGTATGTACTCTACATACATTTGCAAATTTGTTTTAATAACAATACTAATAATAACAAATAACAAACTAATAATAACAAATAACAAACTAATAACAAAACATATAAATATACGACAATCCTTTGCGTAGTTGCGTTTAGACCCACTGCGAAATGGGAAAAATCGCGAAGTAAAGATGAGATAGTTATGTATATAGTTACACTTTACGAACCTCCACTACGCTGTTATCAACAATCGAACAACAACAGTGCCCTCTGGTGTCTACCAGAGGGCACAGTTTAAATATATACATGTAAATATATACAATATATATGTAAATATATGCAAATATATAAATGTGGTATATTTATATGTTTTGTTTTTATAACAATATTTGTTTTTGTTTTATTAATATAATTATTAGTATTATTATAAAACAAATTTATGTAGAGTACATACGTATATGATGTGTTATAATTGCTACATACTGGAGTTCACAAACAGTTCCAGTATAATGACAAGGGGGCACCTGGAGTTGAACCAGGGACCTCTTGATCTGCAGTCAAATGCTCTACCGCTGAGCTACACCCCCACACGCTGTGATTAAGTTATGTTTTGGTTTGTTCCTTTATTATAATTTTTTATACCTTAGGTCATTGCCCTACATTAATTAAATGCTCACCATATAGTATGTACTGTACGTCACGTATGACATGCGGGTATCTTAGATTTCGCAACCCAAATCTTTACCCTGTATATATGTGTTGCAAAACGTCCTTTCGTTTATTTATATACTGTAGAAATGATTATTTTTCACGAAAATAATCAAAATATTGGCAATTTTAATTTTTTTATTTACCGTAAAATATCACGATATAGTGAGATCGAAAATATTGCGAGATTGGATGAAAAACAATACGCGATGTACTGAGCGAGCGAAAGGAGAACTGTGATATAGAGAGGGAACACTGTAATGTTATTTTATATGAAAGACAAATGAAGGACTTCAATATAATAAATAGGTAAACAAATATACTAAAAAGTATCTTTCTTAGTGCTACATTTTAACTATTATTGAACAGAGATACTGTTGTAAAAAAGCATGACCAATATTATAAGGACAGATATATATTTTTTTTTTAGATTTTTTCCTCTCAAGGTAAAATTGAAAGAAAAGAAGAAGTTAAAGAACAAATGTAAGTTGATAACTGTTCCATGAAGAATTGGTAGGAATAATTTAGGATATTTTCCATTTTCCCCTCGAAGGTCAGCACACATCACACTGGCAAGTCCACCATGTGCCCTTGAATGCCACCACAGACTTTCAAGTAGAGTTTGAGGTCCGAAAAGGTGGAGGATTTTCCTCAGGTGGCTTCTCGATCGATGATGTCAACCTCTCCGAGACAGGGTGTCCACATGTTACCCTTCAACTGAACAATATTGAAAAACTGTTGAACGCCTCTGACTCTGAAACTATATTCAGCCCACGGCAGTACTCCAAAGATGGCTATGCCTATCGCTTTGCAGTAGTGCTATCTGTGTCATATATCGGACTGGGAGTACAACTGGTATCAGGAAAATACGATAACCAACTGCAGTGGCCTAGCTTACACAAACAGGTGACTTTACAAATGGTGGACCAGACACCCAATCCTCGAATGCAAATGTCTATGAGAAGAAGCTTCACGAGTGATCCAGTAACAGACACCAGCGAAGGTAATTCACGTTACGTTTTATTCACTATTTGAAAATATTAGAAAGGCTTTACGCATCGTGGTAACTATGGAAATTAGCCTTTAATGTTCTTTCAACTGTGCCGACAGGGAGTCGCTGGTACGAGAATCCGCGTGAAGTTGGAGAGCAATACGTTGATAAAAATAATGAAACTTCTTATGGCGGACTTGTATATGGCAGAAGCTCTTTTGCAGATTTAGATACAATGAAAACCAGAGACTTCATCAAGGGAGGAAATGCAGTTTTTACCCTAAGCTTCCACGGTAGGTTGACAAAATTCTCATTTAACCTACGTTACATCACGTTTGATCACATTTTTTTGTAGTACCTTTTTAGCACTTTACTCAATACTGGAGGTATTGTAGTATATTTTAAAGAAGCTTCCTTTGTTTCCAGATCTCTCTTCCTTAGTCACCGGAGATGAACTGCCTTGTCCACATATGGCAGCAGTAAATTATAACCAATCACATGACCTCGATCATGGCACATGCTCATCACGGTACAGCTTTATCAAGCAATAACACACAGTTCTTTAAGAAATGGAAAATGGAGTCGGTAAATAGGCCTTTTAAACCATACAATGTCTTCACAGGATCCCAACGACTGTCCAACCATCTCCGACAACCACTGGTGACTGGTAAGGAGATATTTAAAGTCTGGTTGAAATGGTACTTGGTGTTGGTCAGCATTTACATTTACAATGTAGCTTCCCTTTCCTGGCCCTTAGGCGGTGTACTTTATCTAGCATTGGCACACATTATTATTATTATTTTTTTTTTTTATTATTAAAGGTCAATAATTACGCCATTTGAACCATAAAATGTCTTTGCAGGATCATGACCACAGTCCAACCACCTCCCGTGACAACCGACGACAGGTAAAGAGACATTCAATTTATGGTGGAAATGGCCTTAACACCTTACACCTTATATATACCTTACGTATATATATACATATATATATATATATATGTGTGTATGTATGTACTGAAAAATGCAAAAACAGAAAATGAAAATACAGTGTAATATTCAGCTGGTTAAATGGCTTGTTATGAACAGAACGAAACAGGTAACTGATAAGCTGCATTAAAATGTCTTGAACGTTTTTTTCCCCTTTCTATTTTAGCATTTTTGGCTTCTCTCCAGCTATAGTGGCGTCTCCTGTCCTCACCTTTCTGCTAGCACTGATTCTAATGATACCATAATATATTGCACTTTCTCACCTCACCTAAAAAAGCACAAAAGATGCAACATTTGGAAATGGTGAAAATTATTGATGGGATTTTTATGTATGTAATATGGGAAAACAAAGAAGTGAAGATGCAACATTTGGAAATGGTGAAAATGATTGATGGGATTTTTATTTATGTGGGAAAAGAAAGAAGTGATTGTGGTCTTGACTGGTCAGGACTATGATTGCATCACTGGAGTTGTATTTACATCAGCGCTGTACTGATTCCGTTGATGAAGCAGAATTAACTGAATGCACTTTGAGAATTCAAACTGCAACATACCTCAAAGGACCAAATAGCCCTTGTAGCCTTAGGAATGCATATAAATCCATCAATATTTTTTTCTAAAACTTTTTCACACCATTTGGAACGTAAATTGGGATTTTTGTTGGTGTTGGATGGTGCGTTTTTGTGATTTTTTTTTATTTCATTAATGTAACTTGACTCGGTATTAATTTTTAGCTCATCAGGAAAAAATGCAATATGACTTTGTGCACTGATCTGTCTGCATAATAAACATGTTAAAAAATAGTAATTCTAGAAAAATAAAATGTGTCTGGGGTCAGCAGAAGTTTGTGGTGCACCAAGCCAAAAAAGGTTGGGAAACACTGGCATATCCTTTTATGTACATGTTTCAATGGCAATTACTAGTTTATCTTTACTTTAGTGCTTTAATACTTTGGTGCTTAATACAATGGTCATAGTTCAAACATCAAAGGCACCTTACATGAAAGGCCATATTCGTACTCTTTGTTTTCTTCCATTATTCAGTGTTGTTTCCAGCAGCAGGCTATATATATATTTGCTACAACTAGAATGAATTCCCTTTTTTAATGTAATTTCAAAATCGAAGAAGCTGTATCTTAACAGGAGGCAGGAAGAATCTGTTTAATGGGTGAAAGAAAAAATAGCCTTTGGAAGAACATTCGGAAGGCACCACATGCACCAACTGTCAGACAGGAATATACCGACTGTGTGAAGACATTGTCATAAAAGGAGTCATGTTGCACTGCAAAGGCGGCACCCTTAAGCACAAGAGGTTGAAAATAAAACGTCAAGTGATGATTGAAGAGAAGGAATTGAACAAAATATTTGACATTCTCAAAACCGGTATCCAGGAAATACAAAGGAAGAATACCGGTGAGCTGAGCTTTGCAGAACTTTATAGGATTGTCTACACCATGGTTTTGTACAAACATGGGGAAAAGCTGTACGCGGGCTTGAAAGAGGCCATCACTGAACACCTGACTAACAAGGTAATGGAAGATATCCTTAACGCACTAAACACTAACTTTCTAAAAGTGTTAACGCTTGCCTGGGATGACCACCAGACTGCCATGGTTATAATCAGAAACATCTTCATGTACATGGACCAAGTATATGTGCAACAAAACAGATTGGACGACGTGCACAACCTCGGCCTCATCATATTCAGGGATCAAGTCTTCCTCCACAGCTGCATTCGTGACCAGCTACGGCTGACGTTACTGGACATGGTTGCCCATGAGAGAAAGGGAAATGTTGTAGATAGGGCTGATATTAAAAAAGCCTGCCAGATGCTAATGACGCTGGGTATGAACGACAGGTCGGTCTATCAGAAGGAATTTGAAGACCCGTTCATAGATATGTCCAGAGAATTCTACCAATTGGAAAGCCAAAATTTACTGTCTGAGAACAACGCCAGTGTCTACATAAAGCAGGCGGACGCTAGGATCATCGAAGAGATAGAGCGCGTGTTTCACTGCTTCGACAAGTCTACACGGGAACCACTGCTGGAGCTGTTAAAACAGGAGCTGATTTTCAAACACATGAAGCCTATTGTAGAAATGGAAGGTTCTGGCCTCGTCACGATGCTTAAGGACGGCAAGACGGAAGACATTGCGTGCATGTACAAATTGTTCAAACATGCACCAAATGGTCTCGAAACAATGTGTGCAACAATGAGTCTGTATATGAGGGAACTTGGCAAGGCTCTGGTGTGTGACGCCAAAGAGGGCAAGAGCCCAGTTGACTTCATCCAGGACTTGCTTGACCTAAAGATTCAGTTTGACCGTTTTCTGAACGAGTCATTCAACAGTGACAGACTCTTTAGAAAAACCATAAATAGCAACTTTGAGTACTTTTTCAACCTCAATTCCCATTGCCCAGAGTACCTATCACTTTTCATCCACGATAAGATTAAGAAAAGGGCCAAAGGATGGACAGAGAAGGAGGTAGACAGTGTTCTCGAGAAGGCATTGATATTGTTGATGTTCTTGCAGGACAAAGACGTGTTTGAACGGTACTACAGGATGCATTTGGCCCGCAGGCTGCTTAGCAGCAAGTACATGTCCAACAGCTGTGAGAAGAAAATGATCTATAGGCTTGAAATCGAATGTGATTTTCACTTCATCTGCAAACTAGAGGGAATGTTAGAAGACATGAACATTACTAACGCAACCATGGAAGAGTTCAGGCAGGAAGTACAGACCACTTCTCATGCGGGCATCGACCTCACAGTAAGACTTCTCACTACCGTTTACTGGCCAACACATTCTGCGAACCCCAAATGCAACATTCCTCCTGTTCCTTGGCAGGCCTTTGATGCCTTTAGACAGTTTTACCTCACTAAGCACTGTGATAGAAAACTTACCCTACAAAATCACATGGGTTGGGCAGACCTCAATGCAACATTTTATGAAACTCTTAAAAAGGAAGATGGATCGGACGTGGGTTCGACCCAAGGGGCAGGCTCCAAAACTCGGACGCACATATTGCAAGTTTCCACTTTGCAGATGTCTATCCTGATGCTTTTCAATTCAAGAGAAACGTACAGTTATGTGGACATCCAAGAGGAGACGGGAATTCCAGAGAGAGAATTAGTGCGGGCATTGCAATCGTTGGCCAGTGGAAAGCTGAGCCAAAGAGTTCTTACAATGGAGTCAAAGTCGCAGGAGGTTGAAAACAACAGTGTGTTCACTGTCAATGACCAGTTTTCTTCCAAACAGCACAGAGTGAAAATACAGAGAGTTGATAGTCAACATGGCGAATTGGAACAAGAAAGAAAGGAAACGAAGCAGCAAGTGGACGATGACCGAAAGCATAGGACCGAGGCAGCAATTGTTCGAATCATGAAGTTCAATAAGAGGATGCAGCACGATGTCCTGGTGACGGAGGTGACACAGCTTCTGCAGGCACATTTTCTTCCTAGCCCTGTCATGATTGAGAAGCAGACGGAGGGACTGATAGAAAGACAATATCTGGCAAGGGAACCAGAGGATAACAAAGTGTACATCTACATTGCATAGCAAAGACTGGGGAATGACAAGGTGTGTTTGTTGGATGGAGAATACAAAAGAAACGCAAGACATTTGTGCAGCAATGTAAAAAAAGTACATTGACCCACCCATATACAGTATATATTCATGGCTAATAAAAGAGGAAGATATTTTCTACCGACAGCCCCTGGTGAGTTGTTGGATTTTGTTCATGAATGTTAAATTTGTTTCATTAATTTTATTCATAAATAAACAATACCAAAATATACACTACATCGAAATTTAACAGATGCATTTTTTTTCTAATTTTTTTTCTGGGAAAAAATCGTTGTTTTATAACATTTGAAATGTATAACATTTGAAATGTATATAGATAATTAAAATACATTCAATTTGGTATCAAAACAGCAGGACGAGTGGTTGCCACGGGACTTGTAGGCAGCAGCGAATAACCTCCCAGCACGTCATAATATTTGGCCCAGCCACTGTGAATTTCAGCCAATACAAATCGACTCAAGTTGTAAGTCAGCAAATCAAAACACAGGTAATTGGAAATGGGCTGGGTCTGTAAACTACATTGACAGACATTGTGGTCAACTTTACCGGTGTCCAAATATTTCACTGGACCTAAACACTAAAGGGTAAGAGTATTTAGCTGGACCGAAGACAGTACAAATAATTTCTCAACCATAGTGTGTCGTGTTACTGTGGCGCGCAGATATTTTATCGTTCTTGTGTTCGAGTCCACATGGCTACCTAGCTTGCGCTAGCTAATCTGTCAATAAACGGCGCTAGCAGGCATTGGCCTCCTAAGTCTGCTTTCAATGGGCTGACAGTTTCGCTAGTTGTCGTCCCGTCTTTGTTGCAGTTTGTTGTTTTACCGTAGTGTGCTGTAGTGTAACATTTAATGTGATTCCCTACTCGGACTAAACGGGGCCTTCAGTCAGTCCTTGTACGTGTAGGCTAATGCTGTTCTGGTGGAAGAAGCAGCTTTTTAACATGCGCTGGTCAAGCAGAGTCAGGTGTTGACAGGCAAAGATTTTGGTAAAATAATTGTATATAAAATTTAAATTGGCAGACGTTATCTATTTACCACAGTTAGGTAAACGGACTAACTTATAATTTGTTCATAAAAAATGTCTTCTCTATGTATTTTCCACTTTGAAGGATAAAGTCTCTTTGCCCATGTAACTTTGACTAGGCTTTATCTTGGTTCTTTTATTATTTAGTATGTATTTATATAACCTTACACCTCATACTGAAAGTTTACCTCTTAATATACATGAAATAAAATAGTGGCTTAATAAATATCATAGATTTTGATTTGTTTGTGTTGCCGATATTTCAGTGGGAGAAAAACAGTAGCAGTTTTTACTCTTGCTTTACCTTTTTTTTTCTAATCTGCATCTCAAAAACTCTCAGTTTTGCATGCCCTTAAATAACATTCATTTGGTCTTTTTCAGCACCAGAATATGGGCAGTGTGTTAGCTGCCGCGTCCCCCAGTCCAGCCCCGGCTGCCTCTCAAGACAGTCCAGTCATCCCAGGGTTTGGGTCAGTTCCTCCAGGGTTCACGATGCCTCCTCTGTCATCTGTCACTCCAGCATCGGGATCTGACCAACAAGGGTCAAAATCAGATTCCCTACTTTCAAACCCAGGCACATATGAGGAATGCCACCAAAAATGTAAAGGTGTGAAACCGTTATTATTCTCATAGAACTATTTAGATGGAAATGGGACAAAGTAGCACTTTTTGTTGGAATGTTTCTTGGCCTATAATGAATGTAACCTATTATTAAAAAGCGAGGACTTTTGTCAAAATGTTGGTATGCATTTCATCAGGTGACATATATGGATATGACAGTCGTATAGCGCAGTGATCAGACTCTTGATGAAACTGTGGTTAGACGTTGTCCAATTAGAATTTCAAAAACAAAGGAGCAGTTTTGTTTGTATGTAGCAATACAGTTGTGATTTCTGTCTTGACATAAAGCCATATAAATATAAAATATCTCAAATTTGGTCTCTGCTCGAACAATCAGAAACAGACTTCATGAGGGTGACCTAAGGGTGCAACGTTAATAATCCCTCTGGAGTTCACTCTGGGAAATTAAGGAAAATAAAAAAAACCAGAGTGACCGAAAAGCTGCTGCCGTCAGCTTTAGCGCCCTCTTGTAGCGCATGACGGGTTTGCCCCACAGTGATGCTGTTGGGCGTATCCATGTAGGTTACACACAGACCTCCACTGGCTAGAAAATGACTGCCATTAGGTATCGGGATAAAATCCTTGAACCCATTGTCAGACCCTACGCTGCTGCAGTAGGTCCCGGGTTCCTCCTGATGCCAACAATGCCTGTTGCCTCATGTGGCAAGAGTATGTGGGCAGTATTTGGAGGTTGAAGGAATTGATACAGTTGCATGTTACAATCACGATCAGGCCTTAATAAGTGTATGTCTGTTAGTTTAGCAGCATTTGCAAAACATGCAGAGTAATTTGAGATGAAAATTATTTACACGTTTTGATTTTGCATCATATTTATTGTTGTAAATATTGCTAGTACAATTGAAATAATTAGGTTTTTTTTTGCATCATATTTATTGTTGTAAATATTGCTAGTACAATTGAAATGATTAGGTTTTTGTTGTTGTTTTGTTTTGTTTAGAGGTCTTCCCTCTGCAGATGGAAGGTGTCCGGTTAGTGGTTAACAAAGGCTTGAGTAACCACTTTCAGGTCAGCCACACTATAACGCTAAGTACCCAAAGTGACTCTGGGTACCGATTTGGTACTACATACGTTGGCAGCACACAGACTGGGCCAGCAGAGGTAAGATGTCTCCACCACAACATCAAAAAGTTTTAAAAATGTTGACCTTTTTTTTTATCACTGGCTTCAAGTTTTGTAGCGTTGGAATATGCCTAGTATTTTCTATATATATTATTTTTTTAAATTTGATAATACTAAAAAATTCAAAATACATGGTTTTGACTGTTAAGTATGAAGAACAACATATCTGTAAAAATACTGGCTTTTTTTTAATTATTTTTTATGAACTTAGCTGTTTTTTTTTTTTTTTTTTTTATGAACTGAGCTTGAAGATTATTCCAAAGATCTTTGAGAATGAATCACAGATCTTCTACAGATAGGCTTCCGTATATTAGTTTGTCTTCTTACCATCTGTACCATTGAGGTACAATTTTAATTCCAATTCAGTTCACCTTTCATACCTTAAGGTGAGAAAGGTAAAGCAATGTTAATGCAAAACTCCATGGCACACTAGAGGACCACAGTAATTGGCCACTGATTTATTTTTTTTTTCCCCTTTCAGTCCTTCCCAGTTATGGTGGGTGATATGGACAACACCGGCAGTCTGAATGCCCAGGTCATCCATCAGCTCACAAAGGCTCTACGCTCAAAAATAGCCATTCAGGTATTAAAACACATGCTTTCATAATCTGCCACGTATTATTCTCCGGTCAATATTTCAGTTACCTCTAATGATAATTTCTGCTGTATTTTCTTGTCTTTTTTGTGTTCCAGACTCAGCAACATAAGTTTGTGAACTGGCAGTGTGACGTGGAACATCGTGGTGAAGACTTCACTGCTGCTGTGACGTTTGGAAACCCAGACATACTGGCTGGATCTGGTAAGAGGATTGTTGATCTGTCTTTGCCGTACACAGTAAAACACAGTAAAACCGTTTCCTCTTGCACCTGTAAGTGTTCTATATGAAACATATGACTTTGACTGTACTGTTTCTATTTATTATTATTTATCATTATTTTTCTATTTTGTATGTTTACTGTAGCTTGATTGTTGATAGACTGACTCAAATTGTACGTCGCTTTGGATAAAAGTGTCTGCTAAATGTATTGCAATGTAATGTTCATACACCTCCACAGGGTTCCAACACATCCTAGAAAATAGTCATAGAAAGCATATGTCTAATGAAAGAAAATGGTAACATAAAAAAATAATTTCTGGGAAAGATGGGGAACCCTGCTTATACACTAAGTACTAAAAAATGGCAGGAATTTGCTACATGCCAGCTTGTGTTAAGCTGTAGCTAACATGCTAGGTGATAGGTGGGGACAATTAACATGCAATAAAAATGTATTCATTATTCTTGTAGAATAAGTATTGATAAAATGTACCTAAAACAGAATAAAAAGGTTTCTACAAAAAGTGAAGATTAAATTAAACTGTGTTATTGACAACTATTTCCTTTAATCACATAACTTTAAAGAAAGCAAAATCTTTTTGAAATATAGTCTGTCGGTAAATATAAATAAATTCAAATTCTTTCCTATTATGTCATGTATTACCAGCTAATACTACAATTTAAACAGAAATGTTGT